GTTTCTCTCGCGTTGGACAGAACGGTAGGTCAGTGTGCGCGTCGTGGAGATGTTGCGGGTACTAAATGTCAACTTCGAGAATATAGCCTGTAGGTGAATCTAGCGGCATGGTCGAAAAGTCGAAATTTTGCACGTCGTCGACCCATCGAAAATCAGCGTATGGCAACATACCACACATTGCCCAGCCGTAGAGATTGTTGACATCATAGTACATTAGGTACGATGATGGTTTCGATGAATCGTACGACGATATGTATTTGTTGTTGGCTCGCGTGTACCTGTTTGAGCACTGGCTCAGACCACCGCGTATGCCGCGCTCGACAAACATGACTATGTCGATGTCTGTGTGCAGTTCAAATTTTACACCCGTATGCTTCAACATGGCATCCCATGTGAAGCCAGGCAAGGTGTAATAATATGCAGGGTCGAGCCCGTAACTCGCGACGCAACTGTCGCGGAAATTTTCAAATACGTCAGCCAACAACAATACATCTGTTTTTAGATACAGATCGCTATATTCACCGAGCGTTTGGATGGAGAACCGCTGCCACACGTTGACTGCGTGCGCGTAATCGCTCTCGGATACCGTGTCGTCTGTCAATGAACTGTAAAACGAATCGCGAGGCGGCAAGCACGATTCATTCAATTTTTCACTGCAATTAATGTACTCGTACGGAAAGACACCTTTTCGAGTTAAAAGATTAAAATTTTCTTCCGATAAATGAGAAAATTCGCGTCGCAGTACCCGCAGCTTGTCTTTATTGAGAAAAGATGATAATTTGTCTAAACTAGAAGCGAGAAATCTAAATGAATCTATAAAACGTAGTTGTACACAATTCTTTTTATCATCTATAGTATCATCTACGTGTTTAGCAAAAGATATATATTTTTCTTTAGTTATCGGTAATAAATCTACCTGTCCTTCGTACGCGGCGGCAATTTCTTTGATAATGAAATGAGCGTCGTAACCGGTTAAATTGTGAAAGACTACGGGTATGCAACGCGAATCCTTATAATTTAAATTACAATTTGAGTGCGCGGGACCTCTGTATCGCCCGGTGAGATGGCAGTGATCGCGTGCCCGCTTATCATCTTTCATGAACGGTTTCTTGCACACGTGACAGTGCGTGGCGTTGTTAAATTTTTCCCAGTCGTCTCGCGTGAAATCCATGGGAACATTTGTTGAAATTATAGATTGCACACTATGTGCTAAATTTTTCAATTCATCCGCGAACCACGATATGCAATTATTATCGCGGCGAAAACGATAGCTTGATAGTGAATCGTCGTGTGAGCAATGAATGTAATACGCTATACTAAAAACCTGATGATGTTGATACATGGATGATGTTGGATCTTCATCCATCTTCTCCAGTGCGCACTCCAAATCGGCGTAGACCACGAAAGGGACGCGCTCCTTCCTGCAATGGTTCTTGAACTTGAGCCACTTGTCGTCCTCGCTCGGCAGCCTTATCGCACAATCGTTGAGTTTTCCGCAGTCGACGCTGTGAATCTCCAATTTAGAGATCGAGCTAAAATAGTGTAAGCATCTGAAAAAAAAATAAAATTATTAGTATTACCGTTATTATTATTATTATTATTATTATTATTATTATTATTATTATTATTATTATTATTATTATTATTATTATTATTATTATTATTAATTATTATACATACCTATCGCAGAAGTATTTCTTATGCTCCTTTTTACTGATTTGTGAACTGACGAGGCGTGACAGGTCTTTAATCAGCACAAAGTGACCCGCGATGTCATCCTCCACGTACAAGAGGTTTACGTGCTTGCTCCTCTTTTGGTCAGCGAGTCGTATCGGTATGATCCCCTGCTCGATGGCGTAAACGTTGATGGAAATGTCGTTGAGATTTTCAAATTTTTTACTTTGACTTAACGTCATCGGGAATTCAATACCCGTGAGATTTAGTACCAATGAGTAGTGCGGATATGAAGATTCTCTGTGACCATTTTCTTGGGCTGGATGCAGAGCGGCAACCACTGACCATGCAAAACAAGCATTGTCTTTGGATTGCACGTTGATCACCGCTCTCTTCAGCATAATTTCCTCCGGGAGTTTGATATGACATCCCGCGCGCAGAGGATTTAGTTTATTCGCGTTAACAGTCAAGTTTAATATACGCGACAGTGCCCATCCACTATCACGTTCTTGAAACTCTTCGAGCGATGCCAGGATTGGCTCGACGACGCGTGACACATACCACTCGCGCTGATCGGTGTATCGATGTATTTCATAGTTTCTGGTTGCGATGCTCTTGTTCGCGCGTTTATCGCCAGCTACGAATTCACCATTAAATACTGTATTTATCTTTATAGAGTCATATCTCTGTAAAACACACTGTACACGCTCGAGCACAATTTCACTCGCGTCTTCGAGAAATCGGCGGGGGTCGATGTGATTAGAGTTTATCACCGCGCCCGTTAGAATACGGCTTTCGAACGCTGTTTCTATCTCGCGCCATCGGAGTCCATATCCGGCGCCCACGTATACGAATCGTCCGCGCACTGAATCCTTCAAACTCTCGAGCCGCGCGATACTTGCGATCACTGCTTGTCTATTACCGATCGATAATCGCGGGCGTTTGATCCGACTCTGTTCTTCCAGAGATTCTATAAATTCGTCGCATCGCTGTTCCCACGCGACGTACTCTTCTCTGGTATTCAGCTGTGCTGCTTGCTCTATTAAATCTAGCTCCATATCGCTTAATTGACTAATGACGCTATGCGTCTAAATCTTTGCGTTTTATATCAATCTATTTGGCAACACTGCATCTTTTAACTGCACAATTTGGCAACGTCGCATTTGTATCAAATTACATTACTGCTCTCATCACCGGACGTGTCTTTTGCACAAAAATCTTAAACAGAACTTGCGAACGTTGCATTTTTAAATATCGAATTACACTAATAATTTCATCACCGTACGTGTCTAAAAATCTGTATTGTGCAAAATTTTTTCTTAGCAGCTGCATATTTGCAAACGCTGCATTTTTTAAAAAAAACGTTGGAGGGGGATACAGTTTAAAAGCGGTTCGTGCAACGTTACTGCATCAGTTACTCAAACGATTTCAATCAGCATGGATTCTCACGTTCAGCATGAACTGTAAGTATTTCACATATATCTATGTAAAAATTATATATCTATAAAATATTCTATGAAAATATCTTTTATTATTTATTCTTTATTGCAGCGCACGTAACATCATGGGTAGAACATTTGCGTTGACTCCGACAGCGTACAAATTTCTTGAGATTGGGATCGCCGTGGGATCGATGTCTCACGTGGAAATTGCGATTAGTGATACCCGAGGCAACCGCATCATCCTACCGCACGCGACGTGGACAGCGTTCGTCGAAAAACGGGCGGATATAGAAAGATTGGTGCAATCGACTACACCATCATCATCGTTGATGATTCAAGACCTTGTAATGGAACTTGTCAAAATACGTGATGTGAACACTGTGAAATTATCTTTATGTGACAAGTGTATGTATATGAAACCGTCGACTGTAGAGGAGAGGCCCCTATTATGAGATACCGAGTCCATTTTGTGTAATTACTAAATGTTTATTGGTAGAATTAAAAAAAATAATAGGTCATTTTGAAGAGAATTTAATAAGCTTTAAGATAGCGTTATGTAAAATTTAATTCAAATTTTATTTTATTTTTTAATTAAAGAAATGTAAAAGGTGAACAAATCGCAAAGTCGAAAAATTGTGCTCCTAGTATGAAATACCCCGTGAAATCGATAATAAAGCACAAAGTACATCAGTATTAGAATTAAAAAAACTTTATTTGATGTTTCTAACATATCAACGAGTACAGCTTATGCGCGTAAATTGAGCATGTGATGCATTGTATTCAGGATTTGTCTTCAGTAGTAATTGGAATGAAGTATTGCAGAAACAGACCCTCAATGTTCATTCCGGTTATTCCTTTTATTATTGTACAATAACATTTATACTTTAACATCGATTTTCACTTGGGCACAGAAGTATAGATTATTTCATATTAGAAATATCCTGGGTATCTCATGTTACGAGTATCACGTCTTACAGCTTTACGATCATCAAATCTAACTTCTTTAATTAAACAATTCAACATATTTCGTATTTTTCTATCAGTACGATCTTACTCTATTACTACATGAAGAATTTATTGCCAAATAATTACTTATTAAATAATAAACAAAGATTAAAGGCTTATCTCAATGAAACTTGAAAACATTCAAACTCTAAAATTTTATTTTACAATTACTGTAGGCATGATCTAACAATGAATTTTCCACTAAATAGTTTTCAATCCAAGAGCAATAATTTCATGATAGAATCAACAAATAGCATTTATTAGTTTAGCAGAAACGCCGCTATCTCATGTTAAGCGCCTATCTCATAATAGGGGGCTTTCCTCTA